TGAGTTTAAGAGATCACGTGGCGGTAATTAATGAAAGATTCGGTTGCTCTTTAATAAATAAGGATACGCGGAGCCGACAGGTTCAGATTCATACTTCTAAAATCTCGCGGCGGAGTAAACGAGCCAGGCGCATCGAGTGGCAAACGTCGTTTCTGCCGCCATTATCCGACTATTCTCCCGCATCGAGAGAAATATCTGCAAGGCGAAGTTCTGCCGGAACATCAAAAATTCGCCTGTTCCCCCGGGTTGGAAGCTAAATCATTTAAATTTCTGCGCAAACGACCGCGCGCGCATGCGGGCGAAACTCACGCTTTCCCGGCGGAGGAAAGTTTAAAAAATGACGACGGGCGCAAGTGGAGGAAGGAGAGGGAGAGGAGAGAGAAAAAAAGCGCGAGGAACGGGTATTATCCAGCTCGCGAATCGCCAGGAAGTTTCCGCGTCGGGGGTGATCTCGCCCGAAACTATCTTCAAACTATCGTCAAACAATCGTTGCTACTGACCTTGTTTTCGGCCCGTGCAGTATACGGCGTGCCGAAAATCTTGCGGAACTTCGCCCCTTCGCGAGTATGTGTATATTCGCACAAAGGAATTTCCATTTTAATAGTTCTGTTTGCTTTAGCCGCGCTGCCACGAGGTGACGTACTTTGTTCCCGCCTGCCGTTGAATGGGGATATCGAGTTCGCGATTTTCGGTTTCACAACACAAAAGACATCTAAAAATAACCGGGGAGGTTGGTTCTTTGATCGTTCACCTCGTGTTTAAATATTCAGATATTAATAGTCGTTACGTGAAACTTGCCTCGCACGAAAAACTCAGGTCTGGGTTTAGAGAGATAGATCTCAATTTTTCCTGCGATGAAAATTTCAGTGTCTTACGTGAGACAATTGCTATTAATGAAAATTACTTATTAATGACAATTATTATTAATACAGAGGTTATACTCTGCCATGCAAATAAAAATTTTACCGCTTCCTAACGTATTCGTAGGGATAAATCTAACAAATACGTACTGAATATATTCCAATTCTTCGTAATCTTCTTTAGGTTATTAGAATTTATCGATCGATTGATCAGTGAAGTTTTAAGTTCCCGTCAAGTAAACCGAAAATTGTTTGTGCGTGATAACGAAAATATCCTCGAAAGGATTTACATTTTTATTTCCCGATGCTGCAAGCTCGTTCTAGTTGATGGGTATTACCGCCGATCAACGATAGCGCATGTCACGAAAATTAACAAAATATTGCTTGTCGACAACGTTTCCGAGGATTTCATGTATTCTCTTTTTTCGGCTTTGACTTTATACAACAGCTGTACGTGTACAGCGCAAACGTTTAATTGACTCGTTTATTTTTAAAGTGACGTGAATTAAATGTTTTAAATATTATGAATTTTAATGAGAAACCCGAGCATAAAAATGCATCGTTTTCAGCTATATTTTCAAAGCTCGACGTCATTTCCAATAAATAGATAATTCCAGAATAATCAGGTATAAATATAATTAATAACTAATTAAAAATAGTTTTGTAGAGATTTGCATATATTTAGCAGTATTTCAAAAAATTTATTTTTTTTTAATAAATTACGTGCTTCGATTTTGATAGAAGTGTAAAAATTGTCGATTGTACGAATATCGGCCACGATTCCTTCTGTTACTCACGTATTCTAACTTTGTGTGCGCGCACCTCTGTGTGTGTGTATGTTGTATCTGGCAAATAGCATCTTACGTGATGTCCCGATTCATAGACGAACGGAGAGGATGGTGAATCGAGGAACGTCATTTGTAGAATATTGGAGTACAATCTGGTGGATTGCATTCTTCGAAACGTTCGATCTTCAATGGGGCCAGGAAATACGGAAGCTGGGGAGAACCCGGTGGAGATCCCGGAAGATAACATATCGCGGTACGAAATAGGCTCTGAGCTTTCTCGCTCGTGTAGTCTGTATCGGCATGGCGTTTAATATCGAGAACGATTTGTTCGAAACCTACAGATATCGTGGATTATATCACGCTACACTGAAAAATCACATTTTGCTCTAATTATTTCACAACATAGTTACAAAATGTCCATTGTTTCTTAACTTATCGATGCTCGATATACAACGAAAACGTAAGAATTTTCGTTAAAGATAAAACTCCACCGCGTCTCATTCACTAAAGTGAATAAATAACAAATAACTAATTGAAGTGTTAGAAGTATATCGAGTATTCTGAAGAAAATGATCCTCAGATTTAGCGAATAAATTTCCTATCTCGTTGATATCGGTGGAAGGATGCGGTGAATGCATCGCGTTCGAAATCGATTCTGTCAAGGATGTTAACGACGGGCGAAAGGATCGTGCACTTAAACTGATCTCTTGATAGAAGCTTGTAATTATATACCGTTGATTAAATTTTATATTATACACGCATACTCCTGCGTATTAATCTCAGGAGTCTCGTGAAGGTCTAGACTGTCTTTTTACTGCCTACTTCGCAAGAGGGACGTAAATGGAAAAATTCGTGAACGTCGTCGACGGGCTTGTATATATTTATATTCCTTTGAGAACCGTATGCGCACTTGTTTATAAAAATATCATTAAAGTTTAGGTAACCATTTTTTAATATTCTAGTCAAAATTTTATTTCAACTCTTTAATTCGCTATCTGCAAATTAATTGACAATTTTCACACAATCGTCCATTCCGTACGGAAGTAGTAAAAGTCGCGTTATAATCAGACAATTTCGAAATGTAAGTGGAAATAGCCACGTTATGGTCGGACTGAACGGGAAATGTAAGTTATTAATAATACAAATTTAATAATATAATTTTAAAGCGCACACTTGCGTTTTTATATTTGATTAATATAATTTAATATATAATTAATTTTTGTGATATTAAAAATTATCATATATAATTATATTCGCTCGCTCATCACTGAACGATTCATTCGACCTGACCACATTTGAAGCGATGTTATCAACGTCATACGTATGAAAAGCTATTCAACAAGCTGCAGTCTCACTTTCCTTTAATGAACTTCGAATAAAGATATCTCATCGCGGCTGACAGCCTGCTACGGGAAAATGATGAATTCGCGCCTCATTTATATCAACGCGAGTCCCATTCAGTGTATAGCCTCGTATAATTTTAAGTATACCTTTATAGAATTCCCTCTCACATAGATAACGTTATCCCTGGACTGTTATTAACGACTACGAAAACTTATCAAAATATCATGAAATTAAAAATTAATTTCTTGAAATATTTTAAATATTTTTATTAAGATTCTAAAATAAAAATACGGGCGGTAAAGCTACTCTTACGAGTCCTTATCTCGAACTTTCCGAAATTAGCAATAAAAGGATTAAGTAAATTTAACTTCTAATTATACAATATAGGATTAATGCAAGTTGATATAATAAGCTTACTGTGCTCGAAGTGCTGTGAAAACGGCTAACGATACTCTGAAAACTGAGAGCAACGAGAGTCGTTATACAGGTCGTTCAATACCTAACCATCCCGAATCAAAATTTTGATTCTATATTAAGTCTACTTAGTTTTACGTTAAGTCTTCGAGTGGGGAAAATAGAAATAACTTTCCATTTGTATCAGGAAAGCAACATTATTAATGTTCCTTTCATACTACAGAAGAAAAACAAATCTCGCGGAGGGGAATTTTTAATTCTACGTTAAGTTTTTAAGCGGAGAGAATGGAAATAATACTCCTAGTTGGAAATAATCATTCCTATTTGTAGCATCAACGAAGCACAATAGAAGATCTTTGAGAAGACTAAACGTGGAACTAAAATTTCGACCCGGAATGTTTTGGAAATATATAGCACACCTTGACGCTGTTTCGTCGCGGAGTTTTCCAGTTGCATCCCTCGTACACAGATCTAAGACCGCGTAGCTTCACCCCCGAGTCACAAGGACGACGTGGCTCTCTCCTCCCGGTATCAATATAACCCTTTTCACCGGTCCGCGAGCGATCCTCGAGCGGGTAGGAACCGACGTATTACGCGCGCGGGACTATTCAGCGAGCTTCGCAGCTTCCGCTTTCCTCTTACCGAAACTAGGAAGAGATAGCTCTCGGCGGCTGACAGCTTGCGCTACGAGAAGATGATGTAGCATCGCGGCGGCGACGGCGGAATGAACTCGCGCCTCGTTTGTACCAGCGCAAGAACGGTCTGGATGCACTGCCCGGAACGTTTTGCCGGCCAGCAGCGGGAAGATGAATTACATCGGGACGTGCCGTCTGCTCACGGTCGCGCCGATCGGAATCGCGCAAACTTGTGCACGGAGGCCCCACACACGTCGGCAGCTTCGCCGCCCGCTCTCTTTCGTTCGTCTTATCGAGGGCTCGCGTGCTCTCGAGCTTTTCGTGTCTCGATGGTGGGTGGCGGGAGGGAGAGTGAAGAACAGGGCGGGCAGGGAGGGAGAAGATTGATTGCATCGAATCCCGCGTACAGTCGACGAAAGAAGCCTTCCGAGCGGCGTTTTAAGGAATTTCGCTTGCATCGCGAAACGGCGGATTCCGTCGACCTCGAAACGCATGAATAGGGATGAACGGCGGGCTCGCGCGACGGGAATCGCTCGTTCCGCTTCCGGCGATACCGAGCGAGAGATTCCGCGGAGTGCTCCGATAATCGAGGAGAATCGAACCGCGATAATCCACCTCGGCTGTTATTAATGTCTTCACCGTCGCGCTCCCCCCCCCCCCC